GGGACAGGCCCCTCGCCCGGGCGCTTCGCTCGCTGCCTTTGCGTAAAAAAAAAAGCCACTAGGCCCCTTTTTCTCTATTATATCATTTCGACTAATAAGAGGCCTCCTGCTCCTCCCTCCTGGCTGTGCCCCACGGGTTCCCCCGGTCCGTCGTGGCCACGGGGGTGTTTTTTTGCACGGTGCTGTCGGTATAACCCTTGTGTTCTTGCAGATCTCCGCGGGTGAGCCGTGCCGGTCAGGGATGTGAGCTGCCTGGAGATAGGCCCCTTTTTCTCTATTATATCATTTCGACTAATAAGAGGCCTCCTGCTCCTCCCTCCTGGCTGTGCCCCACGGGTTCCCCCGGTCCGTCGTGGCCACGGGGGTGTTTTTTTGCACGGTGCTGTCGGTATAACCCTTGTGTTCTTGCAGATCTCCGCGGGTGAGCCGTGCCGGTCAGGGATGTGAGCTGCCTGGAGATGGGTAGGTGCATGTGTTTCTGCTATGCCGGAGCGAAGGGTTTGGGCTGCACTGGCACTTACGTGGTCTCTGGTCCCACTTTCTCCTGCTCGTGTAACTTCTCTTGATGCCTCACGTCATTTCTTGCGATTACAGAAAAATATTTGGAGCTTAGAGGCAATGCTAAGGTGCAGATGTTATTTAAGGAGCTGACTGGAGGCTTGCAGGACTGATGAAAGGGACTGTCGTTTTTATTGATTTTTTTTTTTTTTTGTGATATTCATCTTTCCTTTAAAAAAAGGAAAAGTGAAGCCTTCTAACCCAGCCTGCAGCTGCTCTAATCTAAGCAGAACAAACCTCTCTGAGTGCAACTGAGCAGAAACTTCTGCTCTTGAGTCTTCTGGGGATTCATGGGGGCTCTTTCCTCAGATGAAATTGCTGACCCGGTGAGGATGGAAGCCAGAGATGCGGCGTTGACTAACCACAGTTCCATGTTCAAAGCTTTCCCTCCGCAATCAAGAGCGAGCCTGCGGGATCAGCTTTTGCAGTCGGACAGCAAGGTTTGCGACCTGTTTATTCCTTCCTGGCAGAGCCGTCCTTTGTCCGTGCTGTTGCTTCTTTTCACTCGAAATGATCTCTGCTCGGCCCTTTCTCTGAAGGTGATGTGCTTGGGCAGCTGGTCTTTTGGGCTGATTACTTCTCTTGTTGCTTCCGTCTCTATCTTTCAGTATCAGTCTTCCTCCTGGGGTGGAAGCCACTGTGGGCAGGGCCTTTCTCTGCAGCATCCAGCTGTTATCACAGGATAAGATACCAGTGCACGTTAACCTTTGAATGCAACCTGCTGGGTGTTTCAAAGAGTGACTCTCTATTATACAGTAGTGCTGATTGCCTGCTGTCGATAATGCCAAATACTTCCTGAACAGAGCCACTGCTTTAGGAGCCACATTGTGCTTTTAGTTACTGATAAGCTTATAAAGCCGAAATTGCTTGTGAAATCTGCACACGAGCCCTTGTGTGTGCACGTGAATCCTGTGGAAAGTAAAATACACAGGTTTGCTTGTTTTATGGAGTCTGCAAGCATGTGCATGTATCACATAGTCATGTCTCAACGCGTCGACTAGGAGACAGTACCAGCATAGCTATGAAACTGTTTTTTTGCCCTATACCAAGATGAAAACAACATTTGTTTTTCTCTTTTCATTAAAATTGAAATTCCACCTGGCAGAGTGGATTTTAGACTTATTGGGGAGTGAGTGACACCTTCGTGACAATGTGCTGCATTGTCAGGCCAGGACTGGTATATTATTACACCGTTCTACTCTTTCAGTAGTTCCTAATTTATAATTATGTGGTCAGGGAGGGAGAGGAGCTGTAACTTGTCACGTGCCTTTATAGTTCTGTTGCGAGTGAGGTTTAAAGTTGAGAGCTATACTTCTTTTTTAATAAAAGGTTACAATCTCTTTGCCTAGTTCTTACCAAACAAGATTGGCAATTTCACTTGTCCTGCTGGAAATGCATCATGCACCCTCAATTACAGCCCAGGTAAGACATAGTTTTCTGCCCTGGATATAGATGTTTGTTTTTCCTGTTGTTCCCTCCAGCGGAAGATGTGGCTCTGTCTTGACTGTTACTGTGCTTCTCCCCGGCAGAAGTTCCATGTCCTGAGACCTTCCAGGCACCAGGAGAACCTCGAGCATTTGGCTCAAGCGCGAATGGGCAGTGGAGGGGTCTGGTTCCCACTCTAGGTTCTGTGTTGCAGAAGCCTCGAGTGAGTCGAGGCTCTTATCTCGAATCACGCAAAAACCCCAGGTGCGTCCGCATCTCCTCCGTGTTTAGCTTCCCCCCAAAGGGCCCTCTGTTGGGAACCTGAAGGGTGGGTGGAGATTTTTACCCGCACAAACTGTCGATATTATTGCAGATTCAGTTTGGCGTAGAAGTGGTTGCATAGGTTTATGACAGGTCACAGTTGATCAGGTCCCCGGGTGCCTTTCAGTGTTTATAACCTATCTGTGACACAGATGCCTTCTAAAGGATGCGAACACTGCTACCGAGAGCAGAAACAGCGCTCTCTGTGGGGGTAACCAGTCTCTCCTGGAAGCTAATAGTGTAACAGACTGATTTTTGAGTCCACCTGAAAATGCTATCTCTTTCTGAGGTGTTCTGATGGGGATAGCTGGAATGCTAGAAAGTGGGATAGTGTATTTTTGTGTGGGAAAAAGAAGGGATTGTTCTTTGACCTGCCAGTGAAAAGCTCTCTTCTGGCTGCTCAGCAGGAGTGCTAAGTTGTCTGCAGATCAACTGAGCCCCGAGTGCCTATTCAGAAACAGCACAAAGGGTTTGATCTGTTGCTGCTGAGCGCATCTTTGTGAAGCTCTTCACAGCAGCGAGTATGACAAAAAAGGAAAGTGATTGTTTTGAGAGTAACCTTGCTTGTGTGTTTGGAGTGCTGATGATGGGAGCGTTGGTACAACACCAGGAACTCAGGAGAGAAATAATACATCAGAGCGTTGCGCTGAAACAGTGCTTAGTGCACCTGGTGCTGAATGCAGGGCTAGTTTTGCAGCTAGTGTAAACCAATGTTGCTTCAGGGGGCTGGTGCCTCTCTAGTAGTTTGTTTGCAATATGTGGAATTGATTTCAACGGGAGAAATTCCAAATCAACTTGTGTATATTTAATGGACTAATAGGTAAGCCTGAGCTGTGGGAATAGGGAGAAGCAAGGTGAGGGCGAGAATGTCATGATTTGTGCCTGAAGGCAAAGTTCAGCCATTTTGTGCGCCATGGATCAAAAGAGAGGGAGAGCTGTTGGATCTGGCGGGAAGGTCTCAGTCTAGGTTTCCAGGCTGTGGTTCCTCGGCCTTGCAGTGCCACCTGGTGGCATCTTTTTGGCCGCACAAGCATCACCAGTTCCCTGGCATCCGGAATGGTGTCAGAGCAAGGTAACCAAGAACTAAAGCTTTGGGATAGTTTAAAAGGCCAGTAAAATACTAGTTTCTGATCAAAGTTGGATAGCCTGGATCTTGGCTGGGTTTGGGGGCAAAGACTTATAGCATTACCTAACAAAACGAGCATGAAATCAAAGAGACCCTTTCGCTTCTTTCCTCACAGTGGGACATCCAACAGTTTTGTAGGAAAGTCAAACCATCATTGCCATGCATCAGCATTTCCAATCAAACCTGCTCAAAGTCCTTCCTGGAGCGGTCCGTGTCGCCGTAGCCTGCTCAGCCCTAAGAAAACTCCAAGGCGATTCGTCAGCACGGCTGAAGAGGTAAAAAGATAAGGCGGGGAGACTGATTAGTATGCATTTCTTTCTGGAGTCATCTCTCTTGAGCATCATGAAGAGTTTGAAGCAGATGAAGCCGCTCTAAATGACTTTGCTTGTGCTGGATTTGCTCTTTCCATCAGGCAGAAACTGGCTCCAGCTCTGTTCATGTTCACACTTTGAATTGCGGTCGGTTTGATCTTAGCTGACGGTTGAACTCTTCAGGACCCGTGGATATGTTTGCACCATAGGATCTCCCTACTTTCATGTTTACCTGCTTTGCTTGCTTAGCATTCGTGGTGTGTTTGTTAAAATCATGTTAGCTGGAGGTGTCTGGTTATTTCCCTGCAGACTGTTCGAGAGGAAGAGCGAGAGATCTACAGGCAATTACTTCAGATGGTCACAGGAAAACAGTTCTCCACGTCCAAACCCTCCTCGCTCTTCCCCTTCCATCTGTGAGTATGTAAAATATGCTTCTCTGGCTGACAGTGCTGCATATTTTTGCAGGAAACTTACTCTGCATTGTTCCTAGGTCCAGGTGTTCAAATTCCAGTAAAACCTTAGTGAAAGAAACTCCCAGCCAGAATTCAAAGCTGTTTGAAGCTCACAACATTGCACCAGCCAGTTCAGCCACCAGCACTCTCAGAGCACAGGAGCAGCCATCCCACAAACCATCGCTCTACTCTGCATCCAACTATCCCTCCAATACCTTTGAGTCCAGTAACTCCAGAGCCCAGCATCACCAAGAAAATCTACCAGCATCTAACACACAGTCTGAAGGTAAAGAAATAAACCCTAGTGATGAACTTAAACGCATGTGGCAAAAACACTTCCTTTTCCACCCTGCGCTTAGAATTTTGCAGCAGTTGGGGAAGTCAGTAATGATTGTGAGGATAACATTCTTTAATCTTGCTCTTTTTAGGGTCAGACTCTGTCATTTTACTCAAGGTAAAGGATTCTAGAACTCCAGCTCCAAGGTAGGAGGCTTTAAAATAGTATCTAGAGGAAGGGGGCGGGGGGATTGCATACGCTAGTTTTCGTGATTCTACTGAGATGAGAGTCCAGAGTAAAAGGTGACTGCTGACTTTTTGTATGCCTCAGCAGAAGAGAACAATTTGCTGTAGTAACTTACAGGAGCTCATAAATTTTTAACCTGAATTTGATACATCAAACTTTTCTTGAGAACCGGCAGCAAATTACTGTCAGATCTATCTGAAGCTCTTAGTAACTCTCTAGGAATAAGGGTGTCCAGATATTGAATATAAATCAGTTTTCAGACAATTATCTCCTTTCCGTGTAAAGGAACACATTCATATTTGTCTTTTCTTCCCTTTTCTAGCCTCCCATTCTTCCAGGCAGAACTGTGGATCAAAGAATTGTAAGTGCATGTTGATGATATTTTGATCCTCCTCCTCCCCCCCCCCCCCGGTTTTGTTTTATCTTTGGTCATTTGCTGACCATATAAATAGACTTTTCTAAACTCTGGGTTGGAGTTACAGAAGTTTACTGCCTTCCTAGTGCTTTTTTTCCCCAGTTAAACAAAACAAGTGACTGACTGTGGTCTAAGAGCCTTGAATTCTTAGTACATCAGGCTTCAATTTTCTTGTAGGCCCTTATTTTGTACCTTCTCCTTACCCCTCGTTCTGCAATTAGTTCTGCTTCCTATTGCTCCAGCATCTGACTGTCGGGACTAAAATTGCCCTTGCTTTTCCCTTGGAAGCCATGAGCTGCAATGGGAGGGTAGGGAGAAAGAGCTGAGAAAGGAAGGGTTTATTGGCCATCTGCTGGAAGGAGCTTCTCCTTGATCTGTGCCAGTTAACGTGTGAGCAAAGCAACAGTTGTCATGATGAGAAATTCTCAGCACCTTTTGTTTCCTGGTGGTAGGTCTCTCTTATTCTCTGCAGCCACCAGAAAGCAGGTTGCACTGATGCTCTTTAAGCAGGATGCCAGATTTGGGTGATACGTGCAGCGTATCCACAAGCTTGTTTCCTGCCTTTCATGGATCTGGTTTCCTGCCATCTGTGTTCACACAGATGTAGGAAAAATTCTGATTTGTTCAAATAAACTTTGCTTTTCAGGACCAGCGTCTACGATTCACGAGCTCGGGAGAGGTGGCGTCAAATCGAAGAGCAGAAAGCACTGGCCTTACAGCTGCAAAGCCAGGTAATGGAGAGCAGTGACTGAAAATGCAGTCTGTGCAAGTCAGAATGTTAAATCTCAGAATAAAAAACAAATCTGGAAACAGAGAAATGACAGAAATGTACTCCTTCAAGCCCCAGTGTCTTAATTGCTTCCCTTTTCCATGGCAGAGCTCTCAGTAGTACTCTGGCCACGGTAAATGCTGTCTCTCCGTGCCCGTGCCCTTGCATCTCCTGGAACAACCGGCTCCATGTAGCTCCCTCATAAACCCCCATGCAGGTGGCTGTCTTGGACATGTTGTAATCTGAAGGTCTCTCCTTCAGCGACTGCAGGAACAGGAGCACTCGGTGCAGGATCTGGTGGATTTAAATCTTCGCGTTCCCCTTGAGAAGGAAATCCCTGTCACAGTGGTCCCAGAAGAAAAAGAAGATGCTAAATCAGCTGATGGTGAAGAGGAATTCCCTGAAATCACTGAGGTAAATCCTCTTGAATCTAGTGGGCAGAAACAGAGACTTGTGTGCATAATACAAGTCTAAATATGAAGCTAGAGTGTGCTGTAGCTCAAGTGGCAGCACGAGTTGGGTGGCCTTTTCGGGCCTGCTATTTAGAAGTTGGGACCAAAGGACCAGGCAAGTCGTTCCTGGCTCTCAGAATCAGAGCCTGAGGTAAGTCAGAAAACGGAGGAGTTTAGGTCAAATAAAGCTGCAGCCCGTATCATTCTTACTGCTAATGCTTCAAGAAACCTGATTTGTTTTTATCCCGCTGCATGAACTGGTGAGGAACCCAAATAATATCTCCATTTAAAGAGGAGAACTGAACCTGTTTTCAAAGATGGAGCCAGTTTGCTCTTTGTTGCTGTGACACAGGTTCCTAGAAAGCTTTGTCCCAGTTGCATCTTGTTCCCCGCAGCTTTTGCTGCCTTTTTCAGTAGTACCAAGGGAATTTCCGACGATCTGTGCACAGAAAAGCTGTTCCCTTTTGTCTTTTACGTTTCTTGGTGAAGTCCTTATCCTTCAAGGAGCAAAGAGTAAGCCTGGGTTTGAATCTAGCCTTTGGAAGTAACAGGAACTCTCACTTCAAATGGTGTTTGTTTTTTTCCCTGTAGGAAATGGAAAAAGAAATAAAGAATGTATTTCGAGGTGGGAACCAGGATGAGATCCTCAGTGAAGCTTTTCGGTTAACAATCACTCGGAAAGATATTCAGACCCTCAATAATCTGAACTGGCTCAACGATGAGGTGAGAGGAGTCCATCTTGTGCCCTTGAGGCATCCTCCTTTGGCAGTTTAAAGTATGTTAAAATGAGCAGATGTCTGCCTTCTCTTTGTGTAAGGATGTCAGAGTGATTTGAGGGTAAAAAGTGCACTTGTGGGCTCCGCTTCACACTCTAGAGCGGTTAATCTATGGAGTAACCCCTCTGTAGAATACAGATGTGAAGCAATAAGGAAAACTGAGGAGTGAGACTGACCACGGACCTGATTGGGGGGGGCAAAAATGTCAAATGCTAAATATATACAAGTGCATTTCTAATTTTTTTTTTTTTTGGACTTTTGAAGCTTTCAGGGCTGTTGAGCTATTGTAAATCCCCCCAACATAGGTCTTCAAAGTGACAGATGGAGGGGGGAAAAAAACTTCTTACCTGCCTTTCTACATGTGCAGAGTACCTTTTGCAGAGGTGGCAATAATCTAATGTGGTGTGGATGCTTTTTCTTCCCCAGATAATTAATTTCTACATGAACTTGCTGATGGAGCGGAGCAAAGAGAAGGGTTTGCCGACAGTTCATGCGTTCAATACCTTCTTCTTCACCAAATTAAAAACTGCGGGGTACCAAGCAGTGAAACGATGGACTAAAAAAGTGGATATCTTCTCAGTGGACCTCCTCTTGGTGCCTATTCATCTGGGAGTGCACTGGTGCCTAGCAGTGAGTGCTTTAAAGTTATTCATAGCAGAACATAGCTGGAGCAGATCATCCTATAACTCTTCTGTGAGCCTAAAATCTCATGGCCTTTGAGTGACATGGCTGTCAGGCATTTGTGCGTGGGAGGGAAAAATTCAAATTCTAGAATGAATGAAGAGATAGCTGTAACTTTATTTTGGTGTCTTTCTAGCCTTTTCAAGATTCCCTTTTTTAAAAAAAAAAAAAAAAACAACCCCACCCCAAAACCCAGGCAGCTGTGAAGTTCACGTAAGGCTTGCTTATTCTCTGGAGAAAGATCTCGTTTCCACATTCCCACAAACTCATCTTTAGAGACATTGTCACGGGATCGTTTTAGAAAGATTTAGAAGATCGATACGTTACAGCTCTCTACTCCTTGTGCCCCTGTTTTGTTATGTCCCTTTTCTTGGCTGTTGGCACCTGTGCAGTAACAAATTGCACATGGCCTTTTAGCCTGCTTCAGCCTTGTTAGTTCAAACCTCTTCTGAAGGACGTTAAGCTACCCTGAAAGACAATGCTCCCAGTGGTGGGTAATGATGTGAAAATGGGGCATGGGGCCCCAAAGAGTAGCCTGGGGGACTAACTTCTTGAACTGCTTAGTATGCATCAAGTTGTCTGGAGCAAACCCTTCCGTAATTGTATCCATCAATCTGTGCCTTTAACAGTAGGGAAAACAGTGCTCTTGTGTTTCCTAGGGTGTTCTGAGGAGATCCTGATTTAGAGATTGAAGTGCTTAAATAACACAGCAGCAAGGGGGGAGATTTTCGGGGAGGGCTGTGGGGTACCGAGGAAGCTAGAAGTCCTTAGAAATCCTTTGTATCTCTGGGGGAATCACTGTGAAATCGTCTAAACTTAACTTTGTTCTGGCAAGGCTGAAACTTGCAGAAGGTGTGTCCTAGCAAACAGACGAACTCCTCGTCCATTGCATTATTAACGAGTCTCTCTTTATGTAGGTTGTAGACTTCAGGAAGAAAACCATCACCTATTATGACTCTATGGGTGGAATAAACAGCGAAGCCTGCAGGATACTGTTGTGAGTAACACTTAAGTTTGAGTTATGCCTGTTCAAAATCAGACAGCTTCTTGGTTTTCTCTGATTGTGAAGTAACAACCCTTCTGTAGTAACGATCCTTTTCTGGGTCCTGAGAGGAGGAGCCATAGGAACATCTTGATTTTCAGGCTTTGAGTTTCATCCTGTGTTGCTGATGCAGTTCACAGTAACAAAGGCAGTTGGTCTGCAAGAGTCCTGTATCCAGAAGCTCTCTCTTCATCTGTATCCAGAAGATCTGTCAGTGAGGCTGGTGTTGCCTTCAGAGGTATAGACAGGTTGCAGATCCATGTCTTAAGGACGTCAGGCTTTAGCCCTCTGCTGCGCCAGAGTCGTCTTGTGCATCTTCTGTAGGAGAACAACATCTTTCTAAAGAATAGGGGTTCTTCACTAGCCCTGCAGCTGCTTCAAGAAATGGCATCTCCTGGCCACTTCCTTCAGGTGGAAGTTTTCCTGCCTGTGGCAAAGCACAGCTCAGTAACTTGACCCTTTGTCTGGAAAGGAGATTCTGGAAAGAGTGATGGTATACATAGAGTGCTGGAGCGTCTCTTGCATCAGGATATGGATAAAGGTTTGCACAAGTCTCTTCTATATTGAGTTCCACCAGGACGTAACATGCCGTACTGTACCTCCAAATCTGCGTTGGGTGAAGTTCTTCCTGGGTTCAAACAGCAAATAAGGTCTTGCTTTTAGCCTCTGGAGGAGTAGTATGGGAGGGAGTGGTGCTGGCTGCCTACTCTCCTGAGCAGTCTTAGAAGAGAGGTACTGGCAAGTCAAATCCAGAATTGGCCAGCTTGAAATACTCCCCGTTTTATGAAGGAGCTGCTGAATACAGTGATGAGCTACTTCACCAGGGTGGAGGGGAAAAAACCTCTTCTTTTCTGAAGGTCCTGGTCACGTAGAACCGTCAGGCTGATACAAATCAGATTCCAGGGTGACTTCTGAAAAGCAGTCGCAAGCTCTTCTCGCTCAGATGTTGACCTGGGGTCATCCTTAGGTTCTGTTTCTCGTCTCGACTTTGTTCTAATGCTGACTTTGGAATCTGATCCCCAGTCGCAAAATCTTCTGGCCTGAGGTTGAGTACGTCTGTGGAGGTGTCACTCATTCAGTCAAGGAATGTTAGGAATGATAAAGACAGACAGGAGACAAATGCCATTTAATCATTTCTAGTCTATTTAGCACCTTCCTTTTCCAGTTCAGGTGCTCTGCAGTCTGCATGCACCAGGGTCGTTTAACGGACTGTAAAAACAGCTGTTTCCCTTCCTTTCCACCAGTGATCTGTGGTGTTGGTCTAAAGAGGGAAAGTGGAAGGGAAGAAGGTAAAGCCTTTGGAAATAGGTTTCAGTAGAGCATCTCTTAGCTTTGTGCTGCTCATGCCTTTGTGTTCAAATTTTTTTCAAGAATGGTTCAAGCAGAGCTGGCCTGCCTTGGGCAAGGGTGGTCTAGGTGAAATCTGCCCTTCAGCATAAATGTCTTTGATTGCAATGAAGAAGGCACAGGCATCTGGTGAAATGAGACACCTGGGAGGTGAGACGGGGACCCGAGAATCCTGTCCGTAGTTCATTTAAGGGTCTGGGATGAGGAAGCAGTCTCCAAGTTTGTAGCAGACAGTGCCAGAGGATACAAGGTGTATCGGTCCATGCAGGAGAAGTGGTGGAGACCCAGGATTTCAGGTCACTGTTGCCCTGGACATAATTGTTTTCCCTCTGTTTCCTTTTAGGAGGCTTTTATTGGTTGAATGCAGTGGGAGGATCACACCGGGAAGAAGGGACGGAGGTCCTATTCATGGTTAGTGACCCTTTCATGCTTTCAATCTTTAGAGCTTCCTAAAGGTGGTGAGTTTCTGATGATTTTACAGAGGAGGGAAGCTGAGGCACAGGGAAGGTAACGCCATGGCCACTGGCCGGGCTAGTGGAGTCCACAGATGTTGCTATTATAGTTTGCTAGATGGCCTGACTGTCGCAGTTTGTTTTTACGTCTGGGACTTGGATATGAGACTTCCTGGAGTGGACTTCAGGCAAACTGACTCTCTTTTGCAGGGTTTCTCTTTGGGAAAGGCAGTGCTCGGTATCTCAACGCTGCTAGCGGATTATGTGTTTTGGATAAATCAACCTGTTACGGTTAGTTTAAAAACTTGATTTTAGCGTACCGATACTTGAGGAAATCTCAGGGGATGGAGTGCACAGAGTTAACCATGCCTGTGAAATCTTCTTGTCTCCTGCTAGCAGGAAAATGTGTAATGCTTGCCTTAACGTTCCCCTTACTTCCAAGGCTTTTAGACGTTTAGCAGCGCACTGCAGAGTTGATTTCAACAATTCCCCTAGGGACATGGTCAGTTTTCTTGTCTGTGTAAGCACTGCAAAGGGCAAAAATCCATTTCCAGATTTAGGAAAATGGGATTAAAAGCCTGCAGTATTTGGCAGAGATCTTGGGTATGTTGGCTTTTGATTTGGCATGCAATTAGATTAAATTCTGTGTCAAACTTTTTTCATTGCAGTACTGACAAAGTTCATCAGGTACAATTAAATTCTTCCTCTCTAAATTGTCTCACAATTTGAAGTCAGCACATTTTTCTTTCAGTCCCCCCCACCCCCCCAAAAAAATCTTGTTACCTAGGCAGGATTGGTGCTGTATTTCTTAAGCTACAGGTACCTGATGTTAACCGATGTCTGTGTGTAGGCCAAAAGTTGCTTATAGAAAACTGCATAGGTGATGGTCACAATTAATGCGAACTATGCGTAGTAAATTAATTCCTTGCTCTCTTAGAGAACAGCTCAAAATTTCCTGGCTGCTGTGTACGTGTCAGCCTTGTAGCTGTGGCTTGTAATATTTGCAGATAAAACTGGACATGCAGAAGCCACCTGATGGCTTTATCCACTAAAGTGCAGGGACTGTTTAAAATTCACTGGTTTCTTCTCTATCTGCCAGACGGAGTCTCACACTGAGATCCTCTCTCCACCCCCGTTCCATGCACACAGATCCAGTCCACGCGGAAGCAGTGCTTTTAAGGCTCGTTCTAGTGTCTCATGTGAAGCATCCCTTTATTTATCTGTGCAGCTCCACTACCCATCCCTTAACAGGTGGAACAGAGTGGGCTGTGTGGTGCTGCTCTTTTTTTAACTGAAGATTCAACTGGGTTCTGGACAGGCAGCAGTTGCCAGGACTACTTTTTCTTCACAGTTGAAAGGAGGCCATTAGCTAATTAATGTTTCTGTTTTGTTTGTGTTGTGGTGCAGATAGTCTGCTCCCTTCCTCCAGTCACCTGTTCAGCACTGGAGGCTCAGCTTGCCCTTATTGTGAAGTAGTCGCAGGGAGTTTCTTCTCTGTCCATTAGCTCTTTTCTGGAGAGGAGATGTGGATGCTTCTCTCTGTCAATGAAAGATTTTTTTTTTTTTCTGAGATTTGACCCCCTGTTGAGGTTGTCTTGCGTGAACTGCAGCTGAGTCAAAGCAGCCACGCGGAGCACCGTCCAAGAGCAATTACAGCAATTGCTGGCAGCCGGCAGACCCTTTGCTGGGAGACCAGGCTCAGAGCATGCGTCCATCTAATAAAAGCTGAGAGAAAATGCTTGTCTGGAACTGATCTGGTCTTCAGTGGATTACCAGAAGAGAGACTCTCCTCCTTGACGTTTTATGTTCGGCAAAACCTATTTGTGACAATTTTTTAGAGAAACAATCGCTAGTCTTTGAGGGTCTCCCCTGTCGGATACTGGCCATCCTTGATCACCCAGGTCTGTGGGAGCTTTTACCTCTAACTTGCCTAAAGCACTTGAAGTTTTCTTCGAATGACGTGTATTCTTCTCATTTCTTATTTGGAGTTAGGATAGAAAAACTCCCTGACTTGGCACCAAGGCAGCAAGCCTGACCTTCCATCTCTTGGCTTCGTCTGCCGGTCATATCTTTCCTCCATCTCATTTCAGAGTTTACTAATGGCAAGATGTGATTTAGCCAAGTCTGAGCAGATCAGATTTCCGAAGGATGGCACATCTCCCCGCGTTGGCGGCCAAACTCACCTTCCTCTCTGCTTTTCTGTGCCAGATGCTCTCTTGACCTGTCCATTCGAGCCAGCAGCATTTAATCCCCTGCTTTTCCTTTCCAAGCTTTCTGATCGTGGCCACAACAGTGAGAAGACTCCTCAAACCGTTTTGAGAAGATGCCAGCGCGAAGGTGACTTCGGTAGATCTGTCCAGTTCTTTTGTGACTAAGATTAACAGAGGGCATATGAAAAGCTGAATGTCACTTAGTGACTCTGGTAGGCAACAGAGAGAGGCTCCTTTGGGGCCAGTGAGACTATTTGGACCCCATCGCCTTGTTTCCTGAGGCTGTCTAACGCCTACCTTTGTGGCTGTGCCCCTCTTGAGCTCCCCAATAAACCAAATGGCCCAAGGTGTTCATCTGCAAAGGAAGAAGCGTAGCAGTTGCCTTGGTATGCTCTGTGCATGATCTTGATGGGATTTCTAAGTTTTTTCATGGAGATACTGATCTTAGTGCAGAGGAAAACCAAAAACCTCCTGCCTGTTTGTCCAGTGGTATAATTCAGGCTGAAATGGCAGAAGCCTCTTTGGGCCGAGCAGGTGTGACAATACCTGTGAGCAATTCAGCGGGAGAGGAAGAAGGGTGGCCAGGGCTTTCTCAGCTCCTCACTCTTCAGTTTTGGGAACTGGAGTGGGGCTGTTTTGCTTCTCCTCTTCATCTGCTGGAGGCTTGTGAAAGGTATTTTTCATTTCCCCCCCTGCATGGCTGGCTCATTCTGCTACTTGTATTCTCAGGTACTTCTGCTGAAATAATACTTGGGTGTCTCTTACTACAGTAATGGGTCTCTTCCCCTCTCCACCTTCGTTTATTGCATTACTTCACTATTTTCTGCTCTGTACGATCTCCCAATGGTTCCATGCTTGCATTGGTCATTGAAGAGGGTTGTTTTTTCCTCTGTTTCCTACTGTTGGTTTGACTCTTTCCTGAGCGTCCAGTGCGCTTGACTCAATTCCTGTATAAATACCTCAGAGTTGACTGTGGTGTAGATTTTCGCATTGCTGGTTTCCCCTCTTTCCCCAATCCTTGGATTATATTTGAGAGAATCAGGCTCATGGGGTCCATCTTCCCTAGCTTGCTGCTACTTGAAAGCACTCTCAAACTGTTCTGCTGTGGTAAGAAACTTTCAAGCCAGTAGCGAAAGGGAGCCCTGAGAGAAGAGCTCTGGGAGAAAGCCAGGCCAGCATGTTGAACCTGTCACAGCCCGAAGAGTTTCGTGATATTCTTTGACGCCTTACACAAGGGTGATTGTTTCAGAGCTGCTGGGATGCTGTTAAGGTTATCACATATTTGCTGCTGTCTATGCTTATGCTAAGTAAGATCCTCAGAAGACAAGGAGCGTTAATCTACAGGAAGCTGTAACAGACAGTTCAGCTCTCCAGTCTCTCCTTGAATGTAACACTCTGCTTGCAGGAGCCTAGTGAGGCAGCCCAGTGGCTGCTGAGCTTTTCTCTGCTGTGAGTCACTCTCAAATAAATCAGATTTGTTCTCACTGGTTTATTTGTGGTTTTGACTCTTTGCTTGGTAGATATTTTTTTTGGGATGAGTTTTTAAGTTCTGCTTGGTCCTTTTTCTGATTGCCTAGAGCGCCTCAAAGCATGGGTCTGTAGAGCCCTTTTTAAAATGGCCAGTACTGAGAAGAAAATATTGGACTTCCATTTTGCGTTAATTTTGCAAACATGTCTGAGGACGTTTTAGGTAAACTGACATCGAGCGTATTGGACCTTGGCTAGTTTTCCCCGTTCCTCTAAGTAAGCTTTTTTGTTCTCTCATTCCTACAGGCAATACTTAAAACAGGAAAGTCTTGACAAGAAAAGGAAAGAATTCGATACTAATGGCTGGTCGTTGCTGAGTAAGAAGAGTCAGGTAGGTCCATGCAGTCAGGGGTCTGGAAGGAAGGCTCTGTCTTGGTCCTTGCTTTTGATCTGGGCCTGGATAAACCCTTGCTGTTCTATTGATGGTGACTTGTTCTCAGGGTAACTATGGGGATGAACAAATCCCTGATCCTCGATGGCAGAGTGCTGTGCTGCAAATTGCCATCCATCTCTTCACGGAAGTAGTGAGAGAGGTTTTCATCAGCCTCGGTGCCACCTCTGCTCCTGCTGTATGGAGCTTGCCCGCCCTCTTGTCCTCATCTATGCTGGCTTTCACCCATCCATCCTGACCTGGTTCCTTAGGACTTGTTAGATCTCATAGAGAGGTCCTTGGAGCTCTTCCTCCCTCAGGATTAGCGTGGGGATTGGCTTCTCTAAAAATGACACTTGGCTTTGTGTCATTTTGTTACAGGAGATCCCACAGCAGATGAACGGCAGTGACTGCGGGATGTTTGCCTGCAAATACGCTGACTGCATTACCAAAGACAAGCCCATCAACTTCACTCAGGTAGGCCTGGCCACCACCCTGGCCTGCTCTGCTGCTCCCTGTGCTCAGAGGAGAGACAGAAGTGGGTGACACTTGTTTGTGTATATTCTAATTTTTCCGTATGCCCTTAACTTTCTTTCTGTTTGGTTAAAAGTGTCCCCCTGCCCATGTGCTGATCCATATCACTGTTCCTTTGAGTAGAGCTGACACAAGGAGCTGTTTCGAATGTAGGGCATAAGTTGGAGTGCAGTGGCAGTTCTTTCCACTGGCTGCATAAGATTGTCCTGAAAAACCATCCGCGGGTCCTCTATTATACCCAAATACATGGGACACGTGACCAACTGGTTAGCGATAGCTCACAAAGCTGTAAGTCTTCCATAGAAATGAGACCCAGTAATACCGGCAATGGAAGTGGAGCGTTGTAGCTCAAATCTCAAGGCAATTTCAGTGTTGCTTGACATTGTCAGCCTCCGTGGAATATCCCCTGTATGATATTTTAGTTCTAGGTGTTAGAGAATGTCATCAAAGCAATGTTATTACCTAGATCTCATCTTATTTGCTGTCCTGTTTTAAATAATCTGAAAGCGAATTCCCCCAAGAAAGGCACCATTTATAAAAATTATACCCAGGAAAGTGGCTGTTAGATGCGTGGTCCAACCTCAGAAGACATGCTGACATTTGTTTTGTTTTCTTTCTTCTCTTTCCCCTACCCAAAGCAACACATGCCCTATTTCCGAAAGCGAATGGCCTGGGAAATCCTTCACCGCAAGCTGTTATGATGTTGTTGTGCCGAAAGCTGGTTCCTTGAGAGATTGTATCAGAAGTGCCCAGATTTGCCCTGCTCAGCAGCCTGAGCTGTGACAGGCATGGACCCACACAGGGGTTCAGTCAAAGAAATCGCAAATGAACTCTGTATGATATTTTTGATAAAACATCCTTCATGGACCAATGCGCAACGGAAATGTTCAGAAGCACACTTACCTTTTTTTTTGTTTTTTATTATTTCAAAACCTATTTTTACAAGCAACTTCAGGTGCTGAGACTCGAGGGGGCTGCTTTGGACTTTCGAGGAACTTTATTTTTCTGCTTTTTTCAGCTCTTGCTGTCGGCTTTGCTGAGCTGATGGCATGACTCTTTTGCAGGGAGGGCTGGATTTCAGGGGAAGGGGAAGGCACTTACACAGTTCTGGATGCTCTGAGCACTGGAAGAGCTCTGCTCCCCACCAAGGGGGCTTGTTAGCTGGGTGGGGGAAGGCTAAAGGTTATTTGGGGATGGATGTAGGGAGGGTTTTCCCTTAGAGGTGGCCCCGTTTAAAAAACCAGCATGTAGCAAGCAGCTGCTCTTGGATTGCCAGCAGATGGTTGGGCCAGCAGTTGTGTGGTAGGAACTGGAGAGGAGGATGCAAACCCTTTTAAGAAATGGCTAGGAAAAATGATTCTGATGAGCAATGTTGGCTTTTTGATGGATCCTCTACAGTTGACTCCTGTCTTATCTGCCCTCTGTCCTCAAGCCAGCATTTTTCTTACTTATCACAAACTCTACCTGCTGTAACCTATCCTAAGATTATTACCTACTTGTTGCTTGTGCCCTTGGTACTTAGGACAGACTAGACGTGGCTGCGGGCTTCCTCTGAAGAGCCACTGTCGGGCAGGGAGGCAGGTAGGGTGTCTCACAAGCGTGTTAAGCAGGACCTGGGTGATCTGTGAAGGTAACTTGTTTGCCGTTTCTGCAGAGTCGCTTTTCTGCCCGAGGAATTTATTATCTCCCAGTTCTTTAGCATCAAGCGTTTATGGAATTCAGGTACAAATTTGACCTATTGTAGCGTAGAATCAATGCATCGATGGATTGTTTTGTATATATTTTCAAATGTTTTCCAGAGCGACAAAGAACAAAGTTTGGAGTGTGCGTTTTTCTGCCCTTGCTTTACCTCCTAGCAAGAGATGAGGCTGTGGATTCTTCCCACCTTTGTCCTTGTGCAGCTGACCCCAGCTGAGCAGAATGAGTGTAAATCGCTCCATGTCATACCCTCTCTCCATGATATTTTGCACATGTTTTGCCTGGGGATGAATGCTGACACGAGGTCAAAGGTTGCATTGAATCCAGGCGTCATATTCAAGTTCAGAAGTGCTTCCAAAGGTATCTCTAAATACATTCAGTGTGTGACTCCCGGGAGCCTTGAGGACTAGTGATCTGGGTCTCGTTCAGTCAGTGGGGAAAAGTAAAATATTCAAAAGCACTTAAAACCTTCCAGAAGTGGGATTTTTAGGCCCCCAGGATGCCTCGATGCTTTTGAACATTTTACCCTGAGCACCTAATTCCTCTAGGCTCTCTGGGCAGTCTTGGATCAGGCTTTGCTGATGCTTTCAACTGTTTTAATTTATTCTCAAATGAGGTTTGGGAGGAAGTGGTGAGTGTTTGACAAGTTTCCCAAGCCGCTGAACCTGGTTCTTTTCTCTAGTGTACATAACCTTTTTAAGTATAAGTAAAGAATTAAATAATGTCCACTTTTGTATTTTTGTCTCCAGATAGGGAGTAATATTTTATACATTTTTCTGTACCTGTAAGCAGTAGTTTTGTACAAGATTTCTGCCTTTGCCCCTTGTTCCTACCAGGTTGTGTTCTTTGTAGGCTGGTTTGTGTATCCCTCCCTCCCTCTCCTGTCTGTTTGTTTTATACCAAGCTGATTTACTATCTTTTTCTATCTTTTACTGCAAGTAAAGATCTGAGGAAAAAAAGTAAACTGTATCTTTTCTTTTTTTGTAATGATCCAGTGTTAAATAAAACTAGCTGTAAAACTGTATCACTGCTAGCAACAGGAGCAGGAGTCTCTTTGTTAGCAAACAGTGCTTGCTTATGGAAGGCTAGTTTACATAATTCACCCTCTGCTTAAAATAAATCACTCTCAGCAGGCTCAGGCTGTCGTAATACAGAGGCATTTTTAGTGCTCGTGTTTCTCACCTGAAAGAATTTGATAGAGGAAAAAGCCAGGGGTTTCTCTTCCTAATACCCCCGCAAGCTAGAGTTAAAAGGCCTTTAGACTTGTACGTTGTCACCTTTTTGTTTTGTTGCTTCCTTGAGCCGGGGCATTGGGTGTGAGCTCGGAATGAGGATCCTGATTTTTTGGTTCCTGGGCTGTTCAGTAATGTGGTTCAGGGCTTTCTTTTTTCCCCCCTTGCTCTGGGCAGGGCCCGGTATCAGTTGGAGCTTTCAGGCGCCGCTGAAAAGCTCAGAACAGTAGCTCTGGTCTGAAAGAGCCCCTTACAATGTGCTGGTAACAAAATCAACAGGTCCGTTGTTTTCATTGGCTCCCTAGTTCCGAAAAGCCATGGAGAAAATCACTGTGTCAAAGGCGGCTTGTGCCTCGCATATGCTGGTAACCTAAAGACGCTTATACACACCTCCCTAGACACACGGCTCCCATCCCTCTGCGGCCACGAAAAATGCATTCAGCATTTATTCCTGCCCTTCTTTCTGGCTTATTAATAGAATAAATCATGTAGCCTAGCCTGCCTGCCCATCCCAGTCTGGGGATTTTCAGGTCATATTGACTTTTTCCTCCTTCCTGTATCCTTATTCCTAGACATGAGCAAGATTTTTTTGCCTAATATTTCCAAAGAGCCCGTTATTAGCATCTCTAACATTCCTTACAAACACACGCGCACACACGTGGCTTCTGTAAATATCCATCTCGCTGTCGTCTCCCACCCAGAGGCTCAATGCTCCATTCATCTCTTGCTTGCAAGTTATGCCTAGAAATCGGGAATTATCTGCCCTGCTTTATATGTGTTAACTGGGTTTATAGCGTGGGTGTCCTTAGAAGCGTTGATGGTGTGATTTGCGAATTGCCAGGCCTTGATCTCTCGAGGAGGGGGTCTGGTGCAGCTTCTTGCTCCAGGAGCTTTTCTTTTAGCTCAGACTGGAGCTGGTGTGGTTACAGAGTTGCTGGATGAGTTGTCGGAGGGCGTATGAAGGGATGGGGGAAGGCAGCGCTGCAGAGATGTGACCCGAGTCGGGCCCCAGAAGCCTGGATAACATGGCTGCAGTTTAGCACAACCCTGGAGAATGTGTTGGAGTTGACAGTGGTGGGAGAGCGAAGCTGATGGTTCAGGTATTGGCCCGTCTCAGGCATTTTGAGCACGTGTTTCGCCTGGCCTTTCTTGTATCTAGAACATCTTTAGCCAAGGTGCTGGACCCCAGTGTCATGTCAGGGTGACTTGGAGCCCTTCTGAGCCATGTCCGAGCCAGAGGGGCTTCTCTGCTCCCCGAAAGTCAGCTCAGCCATTCTGCCTAGCCCTGCGTGTACTGCTGCAGGGCCCAAAGATACAGGGTTTTTAGGCAAGTATGGATCAACTTTGCAGGTCAGAGAGCTGATGCTTCTCCAGATTGTTGGAGAGTGTGCAATCTTTGCAATATCCCATACCAAGCAACGCTCCATGATCTACTGCAGCGCAAAATCACTCACCTTGCTTACAGCCCTGCCTGTGATGTTGCATTGACCAGACTCCCTCTGTGCCGAAACCAGCAGTTGGGATGTCTTAAACCCTCCTGTCCTTTTCTGACCACCTGCAGGCGTCTGCTAGTGTGCTGACCCTGCCTGCATGGAGACCATGATGTTCCTCTGCAAATACACTGGATAAAAACCTTTGCAGGTTATTGCTTAAGAGAATCAGTTTTGTTTGCTTTCTCCTGCACATACAGATGAGATGTTCCTTTTTGCACCAGAGTGCCCAAGGATCTTTCTCCATCTTTTCCTCCCGTTCTAGATTTGTTCTTGGTTCGTAAGGGGGGAAAAAAAATGAGTTGTGTGTGCTGAAAGCTCCCAATTATCCATTTGTAGCTGCTCCCCTCTGTGGCTGGGCTTGGCAGGACGTCCTCATCACCGAAGAGCCACATGTTCCCTGGAACAGCCCCTGGAGCAGACTCCCTTCTTCATTCCCTGTGTTGGCTCTGCTGGTTTCCAGGGCAGGTTCCAGCTTTGCCACCTGTCTCCTGCTAACTCCAGGCAGCTCTAATATTTACCTGGACCAGGTATATTCAAATAGAGGGATAGCTGATTGCCAAGGGACAGTTCAGGTCATCGGCTCAACAAAACGATGCCTTGATGGAGGACTTGGCCGCCCATGCCCCTGGCCAGATGTTGGGCTGGAGGGTGGGCAGTGCCACTGAACTTCTGGCTTCCTTCTCAATTTACTGAGTAAGCAGATCACCTCCGGCTCCCTGTGTGGAGCGAGGACAGGCCTGGACCTTCTCTTGATCTGTTGGGCCACGTCTCTCTGTGCTTTCTAGTCTAATCATTGTCTTTTTGCTCTGGATTTAGTTGGATGAGCTCTTGGTAGATGATAGGCATCTCCAAAGCAGGGTTCCTCCCCTCTCCCAGCCCCCCTGCTGATTATGGCAAAGGTCTGACTTTCAAAGAGCATGGAGTCAGCCTTGTCTTTGCGGCTTTTTTACCCCAGTTTAGCCCATGGACAGAAAAGGATGGGCCTTTTTCCCTCTGAAGCATCCAGCCAAATATTAGGCCCTGGCTACAGGCAGTTTGGGGTCTTCTAACCCTCAGGCACGCAGTGGTCCCTTGAGCAAAGGGCTTGAGCAGTGGCATGGACCAGACCTGAGGTCCTGATATTGGGGGATCCCTTATGGGGACAGCTGGTTGTTCCCACGCTACAATCACCCATCCAAAGGCAATGTGTGTGATAGCTCAGATCCATCTATGTCCATATCTGTAGCCAAGGGGCCTGGATCCTCAGCACCTGGCCTTGGGCTGCTCCTGCACTGCAGCTCAAACAGTTTTCCAGCCAGAGGATCCCAAGACCTCTGGGTCAGCCACCCTGGGGCTCCAAGGAGTCTCCTGCTATCCTCTGGGCTCGTACCTCCATGGATGGGAAACTGAGGCGCAGATGCGGCAAGTTGCAGGAAGCTTATGGCAAAGCAGGGACCTCACAGAGCTCATCCTGGACCCACTTGTGGTCCCACCACAGATGTGCAGAGGCGCCGGAGTCTCTGCGGTGTGAGAGGGATGCTGGGCCAGCCAGCGTGGAGAGGCAGCAAGGTGGCACGATGCAACCTGGCATAAATTTCCCATCATCTCCTCCTGCAGCCATGGCGCGCAGCAGCAGCTCTGAACC